CTGAGAGCACGGATGGTGGGCGGGGGAGGGGAGGAGAAGGAGAGGGGAACAGAAGGAAGGACGCGAGGATGCTGGACACGAGAGGGGACTCTGAGATGACTTCAGCGGATGAGCGGTGGAAGGACTCTGAGCTGAGAGCACGGATGGTGGGCGGGGGAGGGGAGGAGAAGGAGAGGGGAACAGAAGGAAGGACGCGAGGATGCTGGACACGAGAGGGGACTCTGAGATGACTTCAGCGGATGACCGGTGGAAGGACTCTGAGCTGAGAGCACGGATGGTGGGCGGGGGAGGGGAGGAGAAGGAGAGGGGAACAGAAGGAAGGACGCGAGGATGCTGGACACGAGAGGGGACTCTGAGATGACTTCAGCGGATGAGCGGTGGAAGGACTCTGAGCTGAGAGCACGGATGGTGGGCGGGGGAGGGGAGGAGAAGGAGAGGGGAACAGAAGGAAGGACGCGAGGATGCTGGACACGAGAGGGGACTCTGAGATGACTTCAGCGGATGACCGGTGGAAGGACTCTGAGCTGAGAGCACGGATGGTGGGCGGGGGAGGGGAGGAGAAGGAGAGGGGAACAGAAGGAAGGACGCGAGGATGCTGGACACGAGAGGGGACTCTGAGATGACTTCAGCGGATGACCGGTGGAAGGACTCTGAGCTGAGAGCACGGATGGTGGGCGGGGGAGGGGAGGAGAAGGAGAGGGGAACAGAAGGAAGGACGCGAGGATGCTGGACACGAGAGGGGACTCTGAGATGACTTCAGCGGATGACCGGTGGAAGGACTCTGAGCTGAGAGCACGGATGGTGGGCGGGGGAGGGGAGGAGAAGGAGAGGGGAACAGAAGGAAGGACGCGAGGATGCTGGACACGAGAGGGGACTCTGAGATGACTTCAGCGGATGACCGGTGGAAGGACTCTGAGCTGAGAGCACGGATGGTGGGCGGGGGAGGGGAGGAGAAGGAGAGGGGAACAGAAGGAAGGACGCGAGGATGCTGGACACGAGAGGGGACTCTGAGATGACTTCAGCGGATGAGCGGTGGAAGGACTCTGAGCTGAGAGCACGGATGGTGGGCGGGGGAGGGGAGGAGAAGGAGAGGGGAACAGAAGGAAGGACGCGAGGATGCTGGACACGAGAGGGGACTCTGAGATGACTTCAGCGGATGAGCGGTGGAAGGACTCTGAGCTGAGAGCACGGATGGTGGGCGGGGGAGGGGAGGAGAAGGAGAGGGGAACAGAAGGAAGGACGCGAGGATGCTGGACACGAGAGGGGACTCTGAGATGACTTCAGCGGATGACCGGTGGAAGGACTCTGAGCTGAGAGCACGGATGGTGGGCGGGGGAGGGGAGGAGAAGGAGAGGGGAACAGAAGGAAGGACGCGAGGATGCTGGACACGAGAGGGGACTCTGAGATGACTTCAGCGGATGAGCGGTGGAAGGACTCTGAGCTGAGAGCACGGATGGTGGGCGGGGGAGGGGAGGAGAAGGAGAGGGGAACAGAAGGAAGGACGCGAGGATGCTGGACACGAGAGGGGACTCTGAGATGACTTCAGCGGATGAGCGGTGGAAGGACTCTGAGCTGAGAGCACGGATGGTGGGCGGGGGAGGGGAGGAGAAGGAGAGGGGAACAGAAGGAAGGACGCGAGGATGCTGGACACGAGAGGGGACTCTGAGATGACTTCAGCGGATGACCGGTGGAAGGACTCTGAGCTGAGAGCACGGATGGTGGGCGGGGGAGGGGAGGAGAAGGAGAGGGGAACAGAAGGAAGGACGCGAGGATGCTGGACACGAGAGGGGACTCTGAGATGACTTCAGCGGATGACCGGTGGAAGGACTCTGAGCTGAGAGCACGGATGGTGGGCGGGGGAGGGGAGGAGAAGGAGAGGGGAACAGAAGGAAGGACGCGAGGATGCTGGACACGAGAGGGGACTCTGAGATGACTTCAGCGGATGAGCGGTGGAAGGACTCTGAGCTGAGAGCACGGATGGTGGGCGGGGGAGGGGAGGAGAAGGAGAGGGGAACAGAAGGAAGGACGCGAGGATGCTGGACACGAGAGGGGACTCTGAGATGACTTCAGCGGATGAGCGGTGGAAGGACTCTGAGCTGAGAGCACGGATGGTGGGCGGGGGAGGGGAGGAGAAGGAGAGGGGAACAGAAGGAAGGACGCGAGGATGCTGGACACGAGAGGGGACTCTGAGATGACTTCAGCGGATGAGCGGTGGAAGGACTCTGAGCTGAGAGCACGGATGGTGGGCGGGGGAGGGGAGGAGAAGGAGAGGGGAACAGAAGGAAGGACGCGAGGATGCTGGACACGAGAGGGGACTCTGAGATGACTTCAGCGGATGAGCGGTGGAAGGACTCTGAGCTGAGAGCACGGATGGTGGGCGGGGGAGGGAGGAGAAGGAGAGGGGAACAGAAGGAAGGACGCGAGGATGCTGGACACGAGAGGGGACTCTGAGATGACTTCAGCGGATGAGCGGTGGAAGGACTCTGAGCTGAGAGCACGGATGGTGGGCGGGGGAGGGGAGGAGAAGGAGAGGGGAACAGAAGGAAGGACGCGAGGATGCTGGACACGAGAGGGGACTCTGAGATGACTTCAGCGGATGAGCGGTGGAAGGACTCTGAGCTGAGAGCACGGATGGTGGGCGGGGGAGGGGAGGAGAAGGAGAGGGGAACAGAAGGAAGGACGCGAGGATGCTGGACACGAGAGGGGACTCTGAGATGACTTCAGCGGATGACCGGTGGAAGGACTCTGAGCTGAGAGCACGGATGGTGGGCGGGGGAGGGGAGGAGAAGGAGAGGGGAACAGAAGGAAGGACGCGAGGATGCTGGACACGAGAGGGGACTCTGAGATGACTTCAGCGGATGACCGGTGGAAGGACTCTGAGCTGAGAGCACGGATGGTGGGCGGGGGAGGGGAGGAGAAGGAGAGGGGAACAGAAGGAAGGACGCGAGGATGCTGGACACGAGAGGGGACTCTGAGATGACTTCAGCGGATGACCGGTGGAAGGACTCTGAGCTGAGAGCACGGATGGTGGGCGGGGGAGGGGAGGAGAAGGAGAGGGGAACAGAAGGAAGGACGCGAGGATGCTGGACACGAGAGGGGACTCTGAGATGACTTCAGCGGATGACCGGTGGAAGGACTCTGAGCTGAGAGCACGGATGGTGGGCGGGGGAGGGGAGGAGAAGGAGAGGGGAACAGAAGGAAGGACGCGAGGATGCTGGACACGAGAGGGGACTCTGAGATGACTTCAGCGGATGAGCGGTGGAAGGACTCTGAGCTGAGAGCACGGATGGTGGGCGGGGGAGGGGAGGAGAAGGAGAGGGGAACAGAAGGAAGGACGCGAGGATGCTGGACACGAGAGGGGACTCTGAGATGACTTCAGCGGATGACCGGTGGAAGGACTCTGAGCTGAGAGCACGGATGGTGGGCGGGGGGAGGGGAGGAGAAGGAGAGGGGAACAGAAGGAAGGACGCGAGGATGCTGGACACGAGAGGGGACTCTGAGATGACTTCAGCGGATGAGCGGTGGAAGGACTCTGAGCTGAGAGCACGGATGGTGGGCGGGGGAGGGGAGGAGAAGGAGAGGGGAACAGAAGGAAGGACGCGAGGATGCTGGACACGAGAGGGGACTCTGAGATGACTTCAGCGGATGAGTGGTGGAAGGACTCTGAGCTGAGAGCACGGATGGTGGGCGGGGGAGGGGAGGAGAAGGAGAGGGGAACAGAAGGAAGGACGCGAGGATGCTGGACACGAGAGGGGACTCTGAGATGACTTCAGCGGATGAGCGGTGGAAGGACTCTGAGCTGAGAGCACGGATGGTGGGCGGGGGAGGGGAGGAGAAGGAGAGGGGAACAGAAGGAAGGACGCGAGGATGCTGGACACGAGAGGGGACTCTGAGATGACTTCAGCGGATGAGCGGTGGAAGGACTCTGAGCTGAGAGCACGGATGGTGGGCGGGGGAGGGGAGGAGAAGGAGAGGGGAACAGAAGGAAGGACGCGAGGATGCTGGACACGAGAGGGGACTCTGAGATGACTTCAGCGGATGACCGGTGGAAGGACTCTGAGAGCACAAATGGAAGGGGGTGGGGGGGGAGAGTAGCGGGTAATAAAGGGAAGGATGCGAGGATGCTTGACACGAGAGGGGACTCTGAGATGACTTCAGCGGATGATCGGTGGAACTGCTCTGATACTATCCATGCATGGTGGGGCGGGCATTTCGGCGAGAGGTGGGGCGACAATAGGGGGGGAACGGGGGGAAGAGGAGGGGAGAGGAGGGAGGGGGTCAAGGGAAAGGGGAATAGAAGGGAGAGGTTGGGAGGTCTGGAAAGCGGCGAGTGTGTTGGGTACTACAAGATGAGACTCTGAGATGATTCAGCAAATAAAAGGTGGAACAGCTTTGATACCATGAACGATGCCACAAACTGTGCAACCACATCATAAACAGCACCCTACCATACCACACACACACCACGCCACACCATACCCAACACCACAGCATACCTCACACACACACCAAAACACAACACACCACACCAAACCATACCGTGTGCTGGTTGGAAGGACGTGAGGGCTGATTACCTTCCTGTCAAAAGCCTACGCTACCTCACACACACACCACACCATACCACGCCACACCATCCCACACCGTGCCGTGTGCTGTTTGGAAGGATGAGAGGGCTGCAGTTCCTCTTCTGTGGAAAGCTACCTCACATCACACCACACCACGTCACGCCATACCACACCACACCACGCCATTTCACACCATACCATACCGTACCATACCATCCATACCATACCATACCATACCTTACCATACCATACCATACCATACCATACCATACCATACCATACCATACCATACCATACCGTGCGCTGTTTGGAAGGACGAGAGGGCTGCAGTCCCCCTCCTGTGGAAAGCCTCTGCTACTTAACACCACACCACGCCACGCCATACCACACCACACCACATCAAACCGCACCACGCCAAATCACACCATACCATACCGTGTGCTGATTGGAAGGACGAGAGGGCTGCAGTTCCCCTCCTGTGGAAAACCTCTGCTACCTCGAAGCTGAGGGCGAGTCAGAAAACAGAAGGACAAAAAGCGAGGAGAGAGAAAAGAGGAAGATGGATTATCGTAAATACAGAAATACCTTTTTACAAATTAAAATAGCGGAAGTACATTCTTTTAGGCGCCTCGGAAGTACCTCTCCATGAATTCCGCAAACTCCTTCGCCATTGGCACGAGAAATCGGCCGCTTTGCTTCACAATAACCGGTCGCGTCAGTTACGCTTGATCCTATGACTTAATCACAAAGTTGCATTTGCTTCCAGACGCCTACATTACCAGAAACACATACCATCGCTACGCGGCGGCGTGTCGAACTACACCTATAGCGAAGAAGACTCGCGACAGACCTTACCTAAACGCTGGTTCTGGGCATACCCACCGAATGGAGTGTTTGAGGAAAATCACACAAGAGAATTCATAAATCAGTCGCTACCTCGAGCGTGACGGTGGGCTGGAACGAGAGAGAGAAACAATCCCCGTTAGTGCTTCTTCACCCGACCCGACTGAAAGGAGTTTCCAACTAGCATACATGTATACCACGCATGTTTGAGAGCACAGGGAGGAGACCAACCTGCCGCTCGAGTCTACCTGCCCCCCAGAAAACTTTTGGTTCGGCTCAAAACGGTTTCGCTTGGTCAGGTTGGGTTCGGATTGATTCGGGCTCGGTTCAAAACAGTCCGGTCTCGTTCGGCGTGGTTATTTTCGGTTCAGCTCCTCCAAGTCTGGTTAGTACCTCGGTCTCACTCGGTTCGGCTTGTTGCTGAACGGTTCGATCTGGTCCGTGGCGATCATGTCACTCGCAATCCGAGTCAACCAACTACCTGGTCATGACTCTAGTGCAGCCGCCAAAATATCACCAGGGAGGAAGCTCTGCTGCAGCTGCTGCGATGCGAGTGACACTGCTGGTCGGCGTTATCTGGGTTGCAGGTTTCTTTTATTTCATAATCATGCTTGAGAAATGAGACGGGAGAATTTTTCTAGGTCACCTGATGCTATTTTACTTTGGAGGTGACTGGAAGGCACTTCCTCCGTCGAATAGTATAGACGTATTGAAGAACTGACAATTTGATTGTGAGCTGCTGTTGACATCCTGCCTTTGCCCGGTCCTTTTGGGCCGAACTACGGCCGGCATGGTTCGAGAGTTGACAATGCGGTAGTTAGATACGCTGAGTCCCGGTCCTGTAGTGTCCTGCCCGCCTAATTCCGCGACACGGTTCAACCTGACAGTATTATCAGTGTAGCTTCAAGCATAGGCTGGGCTCTAGTATAGCAGAATACTATGCGAATTGAGGCAACCAGCGATAAGATTGGAGTCACTAATGAGAATTAATCAAAAGCTAGGTGTCGTCTTCAGTTACTGATAAAGAATAATTCAACAACCTTCACGCGCCGCCCAAAATATCACGCCAGCATCGAGTACAGGCGACTCAAAATCGACACAACCATCACCCACCAGCCTAGTATCACGCTATTTAGACGCGAGAAACGCGCGTGATAAAAGTGATGTTTTGAGACACGCGCGTTTCTCAAAACATCTATTTTAGACGCGAGAAACGCGCGAGGCTTAGGAGGCTAGTCTTGTCGCTTTTACGCCGTCACTTGTAGTAATAGACCGCTCGTCGCGACGTAAGCGATGTTTAAATTTATTAGTAACGGCTTTTCCAGCCCACGCGGGAAGACAAGTAGCGGCTTTTCCAGCCCACGCGGAAAGTCTAAGGGTTCGCGGCTATCCGGTTTCGATGGTTCTGGTGGTTCTGGCCTCATAGCTTTCTCTTATAAGGAGCTGTCAGCGGCTACTAATAAGTTCCAATCGAGCCGCGTTTTGGGGGAAGGCAGCTTCGGGAAAGTTTACCGAGGGAAGGTGTCTGGATTAGGAGTGGAAGATTGTCAGGAGGATAGTAACGGGGATGACGGTAAAACGAATGCTACTAACGCGGATGATGATAAGGGGGATGGTGGCAAAGCGAAAGGCAGTAAATCGGATAATAAGGTGGAGGTTGCGATAAAAGTGCTTCACGAAGAGAGCGTTCAAGGAATGACAGAGTGGATGGTGAGTGTGTCGCGAATGCTAGTAACGGGGATGATATGTATTTATAAATGCTGCTAATTACGGGATGATATGTAATTATACATATAAAGAATTTGATTTCAATAAACCTGGTTTGTATTTTCCACCCGTTCCCCTCCACCCGTCCCATTTGTCATGCCACAGGCCGAGCTTCTGCTGCTGGGAAGGCTGAAACACCCCAACTTGGTGAATCTGATCGGATACTGTTCCCAGAAGAACCAGGCGATGCTGGTGTATGCTCTGATGCCGCATGGGGGGCTGGATACATGGTTACTGCAAGGTGAGGCATGCACGCTGCGTGCACACATGCGTGTACATGCGTACACCCACGTGCATTTAGGCATATGTGGTTGATCTCAGAAGAACCAGGCGATGCTGGTGTATGCTCTGATGCCGCATAGGGGGGCTAAATACATGGTTACTGCAAGGTGCCACAGACACACACGCACACCCACGCTCCACACACACACACACACCCACAAGTGCACGCACGCGCTCATGCACCTGCCCTCCCCTTCTCCTCTCCCCTCACACACACACACACATGTGGTTGCTCTCAGAAGAACCAGGCAATGCTGGTGTATGCCCCTTACCCCCAACCTTTCATCCCCCAACCCCCCTCCACACCCTCTCATCACCCCTCCCCCGCACCCTCTCATCTCCCCTCCCCCCCACCCTCTCATCTCCCCTCCCCTCACCACGTCACAGACTTGACCCGCCCCGTTCCACCTCCATCCCATCCCTCTTTTCTCCTACCCTCATCTCACCCTCTCATCCCCTCTCATCCCCTCATCATCTCACTCCCCCTCCCCTCCCCCCACCACGTCACAGACTCGCCCCGCCCTGTGCTGACGTGGCAGCAGAGAATACGGATCGCTCTGGGGGCAGCACAGGGCCTTGCGTATCTGCACGGGTCGAACATCATTCACCGGGATCTCAAGTCGTGCAATATCCTGTTAGATCAGGTATGCCTAGTCAATTGGGTGGGTGGAAGTAGCGAGTGTGCTGCTGGGGGCGACTGGGGGCAGCTCAGGGCAGCACAGGGCTTGGCTTACCTGCACGGGTCGAACATCATTCACCGGGACCTCAAGTCGTGCAATATTCTGTTAGACCAGGTGAGACAACTCGGTTGGGTGGGGTTGGAACTTGGAAGTGGTGAGTGTGCTGCGGGGGGCAGCAGCTGGGGCAGGGCAGCAAAGGGCAGCACAGGGCCTGGCGTATCTGCACGGGTCGAACATCATTCACCGGGACCTCAAGTCGTGCAATATCCTGTTAGACCAGGTGAGCTGGGAGTAGTGGTAGTGTGTGTGTTTCTAGGGACTGGGATCAGCAGCAGAGGCCAGCTGGGGGCAGCCCAGGGCCTGGCGTATCTACATAGGTCGAACATTATTCAGCGGGATTTCAAGTCGTGCAATATCCTGCTAGACAAGGTAAGCCTACTAGATTGGGTGGGTGGCAGTGATAGTGCTTGACAGTAAGCATGAGTCTGGGTAGTTTCTGGGGGCAGGGCAGAACAGCACAGGGCCGGGCAGCACAGGGCCTGGCATATCTGCATGGTTTGAAGGCCATTCACCGGGATCTCAAGTCGTGCAATATCCTGCTGGACCAGGTGAGAGAGTGAGAGCCTGTGGTGTGCGTAGTTACTGGGGGCAGTGCAACACTCACGTGCACGGGGCAAACATCATCTAGAGAGATCTCAAGTCGTGCAATATCCTGCTGGACCAGGTATGCCAGCTTGATTTGAATGTCTCGAGTTCAATAAGTACTCCCATCCCTCAACGATCCTCCCACCCGTTCCCTCTCCCCCCTCCACTCCGGTCTCCCATCCGCACATCCATGCCAGACTGACAGGCTTCAGGCTGTCGGCATGTGCTTTCCCTTCCCTATCTCCCATGCCCCTCTCTCCTCTACCCTCTTCCCTCCCTTCCTCCCTCCCGTTCCCCCTTCCGCCCGTGCATCCATACCAGACTTACAGACTTTAGGCTGTCAGCATGTGCTTTCCTTCCCTATCTCCCATGCCCCTCTCTCCTCTACCCTCTTCCCTCCTTTCCTCCCTCCCGTTCCCCCTTCCCCCCGTGCATCCATGCCAGACTGACAACTTCGGGCTGTCAGCGTGTACTTTCCTTCCCTATCTCCCATGCCCCTCTCTCCTCAGCCATGTCCCCCCACCCCTTCCTCCCCTTCAGCATATCCCTGCCAGGCTGACAAGCTTCCCTTACTCCCATACCTCCCTACTCTACCCTCCACGCCCCCCTACCACCCCCCCTTCAGCACATGCGCGCTAGGCTGACAGACTTTGGAATGGCGAGGGCGGGACCAGAGGAGGGGAAGACGCACGTGTCCACTCAAATAAAGGGGACTTTGGGTTATTTAGACCCCGAATACATGGACACTGGTAGGTAAACAGAAGGACGCAGAAGCATTAAGCGTTGGGGCAATAAGGGTTGTGGTGTAAGGGAGTGAGCACTGGTGTTTGTTTTGTGGTTTGTTCAGCACAAGTGAATTGAGTGATATTTTGTGGTCTTGCTAAGCCGTAATTTTCTCTCCTCCGTTGCTCCTCTCTTCTGCTCCAAACACCTGCATATGATAGCGCAACCTATTCCCCCCCTCTTCAGGTCACATTGCTCATACCAGTGACATTCACCAGTCCTACCAAAACTTGACTTCACTCTTACCAGTGACATATTTCACTCCTCCTCTCACCCTCTCATCTTCCCCTCGTCAGGTCACCTCGCTCCCACCAGTGACCTTTATTCTTTTGGAATAATCTTGCTCGAGCTACTAACCGGCCGGCCTCCATTCGAACCGGAGTCTTCCACTTACCTGGTCTACCAAATCCGTCCCTACTTTGACAACCCTGAGCCGAGCCTAGACAAGTTCATAGATCCGAGGCTGGAAGGCAGGCTCGGGAGGAAGTCGGCCGTAGGGTTGGTGGTTTTGGCAAAGCATTGCTTGAATGATAAAAGGAACAAGAGGCCTGAAGCGAGTGTGCTTGTAGAGAGGCTGAAGGACCTGGAGAAGGTTGTAATGAGTGAGTGTATAGAGGGTGATGGTGGTAGTGGAAAGGCAGAAAATCAGTAAAATTCATTATAGAATGATGCAAATTTCAAGTTTTACCATATGAAACCCCTGTTATAGCTGGCTTCTGTACAGTTTTAAACCTTGGTACAATTGGTTAGTACACTTGGTTGGTACACTTTCATCCCCACTATAATTAACAACAGCCACTACCAAAACCATAAGGTGCACAATGGTGCATACAGAAAGTTGCACTAGAAGCAACAGCAGCAGTAGCAGAAAGCAGCACGCTTCAGCATTTGAAAATAATCAAAAGCACGAGTACAGATAGAGTCTGCACAAGGCTCGCTAGTCTTGAAAACATGCACCTTGATGAATAGCCACCTTTCACACATCGGTTGTTAACCCAAGACAAGGAGTTGGGTTGGGGTTGGGGGGGTACCGGTATAAAAAAAAATGGAGGGGAATTAAAATGACTGATACACCAGATGCTTGTAGAGGTGAGAGATAAACTGGAAATACGGACCGGAACATGATGGCATGTGATGGGAGGTGGGGGTATTGGTGGTGGTGATGGTTGATGTTCGGGTGGCATGGAACGATGGGGGCGGTAACCTGGTAACCTGGTAACCTGATGATGATGGTTGGTGTTGGGGCGGTGATCATGGTGTGCGGTGGTGGTGGGATGGCGATGAGATGATGGCCGGTTGGACGCCTCAACCTCAACCTCGACCTTCATGAAACGGAAGGCCAGCTCACTCAAACACATGCCTCCTCCCAAGACTGCATTCATTCACACAGCAGCAGCACCTGAGGGAGTCTATTGTACAAGGAGCTCAAATTTGAAGCTCGCTTGAGGGAGTATAATTTGAGGCGCCTCAGGAATGGGCGTGCCCAAGTGAGCACTGCAGAAGAATCAAATCACACTTGACGTTCCGGTAGTTGCCAAGCTGCCACGTAACAATAGGACTTGCATGTGGTCGAATCAAATCAGAACGCCAGGAGGATCATTGCAGACGAGATGAACCAATCGGCGTCCCGGAATGGAATTTAACAAATGCCAACCCCGGCATGGCTTCAGGAGTCGACTCAAGAATCAGCTGGCATTCTCATACTTCGCAAGTACCGCTCTTTACCGCACTGCTTCTTGACTGAACCGCAACACCAGTCGGAATTCCGATGCCTGGCAGCAGGAACTGCAACCCGCACTGCCTCATGACTGGACTCGTGAATCAGTTGGAGTTGCGGTATTTGGCAGGTACGGGCACGGATTCAGGAGATTTGGAGTCAAACTGAACAGCATCGTCGAACGAGCGGAGCGAGGAGGGGTTGGTGGCACTGCCGTTGGTAGCCGGGGTGTTGAGCGCATCAACCGCTTCCCGGAGGTTGGCCGCTGCTGCAATGATCTCCTGCTCCTCCTGCATATTTATCGGGGACAAGAAAAAACAAGGGAGAGGGGTTGGTTCACTCCGATTGGGTGCCGGAGTGTTGAGTGCTTCCACTGCTTCCCTCAGGTTGGCTGCTGCTGCGATGATTTCCTGCTCGTCCTGCAAGTTAATGGGGAAGGGAAAGAGCAAGGGAGAGGGGTTGGTGGCGCTGCCATTGGTTGCCGGGGTGTTGAGCGCATCAACTGCCTCCCGGAGGTTGGCCGCTGTTGCGATGATCTCCTGCTCCTCCTGCAAGTCAATTGAATGAGGGGAAGAACAGGGGAGAACAACGGGAAAAAATGGATGAGGGGTTGGTAGTGCTGCTGTTGGGAGCGGGGGTGTTGAGTGCTTCTACTGCTGAAAGGATTTGCAGTCACGCCCTCCCCCGATCATGCCCTGCCCCATGCACGCCCTGCCTCAGTCACTCCATTACATGACAACCCAGTCACGCCTCTCACCTTAGCAGGAACAGCTGACGCAGCTGACTTGGCAGTCACGCTCTGCCCCAGTCATACCTTACGTTATAACCCAGTCATTCCTCTCACTCTACCAACCTCTCTCCTTATCAGGAACAGGTGATGCAGCAGACTTGGCAGTCACACTCTGCCCTACAACCACCCAAGTGTGATAATCCCGCTATCAGGCTCCCATTTCACTCAACAATCCGGTCACCTGTCTCACCTTATCAGGAACAGATGACGCAGAGGATTTAGCAGTCACGCTCTGCCCCAGGCGGGCGACCGAGTCCTGAAGCCTGCTGGGGGAGGGGAGGATGGGTGGGAGAAGGAGGAGGAAGGGGAGGGAGGATTTGCATGCATTACTCAGTCAACTCGAGCACGTCCCCGGCCACAGCCAAGCACTGTACAGCATGCGCGTCAATCACGCTCTGCCCCAGGCGGGCGACCTGATCCTGAAGCCTGCTGGGGGAGGGGAGTATGGGTGGGGGGTGGGGAGAGGGGACGAGAAGAAGCGCATTGCACTGCACTGCACCGCACTGCACTCAAGCACACTCCCTTGCAGCGTATCAGGCACATTAGTCAGTCTACTTAACTCAAGGAACTAGAGAGGTCCACCACCATCTCAGTCGCAGCAGCCCCCACTCCATCCGCGTGTGATGAGACGATTTTTGAGTCGACTCAAAAAGTGTATCAGGCAGATTACTCAGTCTACTCAACTCAAGGAACTAGAGAGGTCCACCACCATCTTAGTCGCAGCAGCCCCCACTCCCCCCACTCAAGTACCCACACACAACCCCACGAACATAACAGTTTCCTTCTCAAATGGTCCTTTCTCCCTCTCTCACCTGCTATGAAGCTCCTTGGCGCCCTTAGACAAGTCAATCACGCAAGCTCCCCACCCCCATGACCTTTCCCTTCTCAAATGATCCTCTCTCTCTCTCTCTCACCTGCTATGCAGCTCCTTGGCTCCCTTAGACAAGTCCACCACCATCTTAGTAGCAGCAGCACCAACGCCCTCCTCTCTCAAATGGCTGTTTGCATCAATGCACGGAAATCACTCTCTCCCACGTCCCCTCTCTTCCTCGCTCACCTGCTATGCAGCTCCTTGGCTCCCTTACACAAGTCAACCACCATCTTAGTAGCAGCAGCACCAACGCCCATCCCCACGCCTCCTCTCTCAAATGGCTGTTTGCATCAATGCACGGAAATCACTCTCTCCCACGTCCCCTCTCTTCCTCTCTCACCTGCTATGCAGCTCCTTGGCTCCCTTAGACAAGTCCACCACCATCTTAGTAGCAGCAGCACCAACGCCCATCCCCACGCCTCCTCTCTCAAATGGCTGTTTGCATCAATGCACGGAAATCACTCTCCCACGTCCCCTCTCTTCCTCTCTCACCTGCTATGCAGCTCCTTGACTCCCTTAGACAAGTCAACCACCATCTTAGTCGCAGCGGCACCAACCCCACTGTCACTCCTCTCTCTCGCTCTCTCCCCCTCAGTCTCCCCCCTCTCTTCCTCTCTCACCTGCTGTGAAGCTCCTTGGCGCCCTTAGACAAGTCAACCACCATCTTAGTAGCAGCAGCACCAACGCCCATCCCCACGCCTCCCACCATAGCCTCTTTCTCCTTTAACTCCACCTCCAGCTTCGTAACCTTCCCGGAAAGTTCCCCAAGCTCCACCCGAGCCTTCATCAGCGCCTTCGCCTCCACCTTCTCTTTTTCCCGGGCAGCCGACAGCTGCACAAACAGGTCCGAGATCTTTTCATCTGCCCGGCCCAGCAGCACCTTCGCCTCCTTCTCCTTCGCCTGCAACTCCCCGACCCTCCCCTCCAGCTTCGACACGTTCACCGAAGCTGCCTCAGCTTCGGCCCGAGCCTCCGCGAGCTGCTTCTGCAGCTTCTCAACAGCTGCCTCCATTATAGCTTCGGCGTTAGGCGCAACAGCAGCACCGGACTTTTTCTTCTCAGCCGAAACGGCCTCTGCGACAGCAGATTCGAGCTTCTGCTGCTGGCGGGATTTGATCATTTCCATCTGGCGCAGCAGGAAGGAGGAGCGCTCGCTGGCCGCATCGGCTGTCTGCTTTGCTGTTGCTAGTTCGGCTTGTAGGACATCCACTTGTGCTCGCATAATCACGATTGCTCCTTCTACCTGCTCCGCTGCCTTGGACTGTGAAGGAAGAGATAAGCAGGGGCAGGGCAGAGAGTAGGGGCAGAGCACACGATGGGAAAGGGAACATTAAGTGGCGCTGCTGCTGCCAGCTCTGCTTGCAGCACGTCCACCTGCACTCGCATTATGACGATTGCTCCCTCCCTCCACCTGCCCTGCTGCCTTGGACTAGGAGAGGGTACAGAGGAAGGAAGGCGGAACGAGAATCATGGGCACACATGCGCATGCACGGTGAAGTGGTAAGAATGCATGCGCACACACATGACCCTTAGGGGATACTTGACATTAAAAACCAGCTGAAAAAACACCTGAAGAACCACCTGAAGCCCACCTGAGCAGCAACGCTGTCCAGCTTCTGCATGAGCACCCCAACCTCCCGCCGCGCCTCCTCCTCGCTCTTCTTAACCCTCTCCACCTGCACCACCAACCCCTCCTTCTCCCTCTCTGCCGCCCGCACTCTCTCCCTCTAAGGTGCCTTTCACTCGCCCTACCTGCACAACCAGTCTCTCTCACCTGAGCAGCGACGCTGTCCAGTTTCTGCATGAGCACCCAACCTCCCTAAGAGGTACTGGAGAATCATACCACCTGAAGAAACACCTGAGGCTCACCTGAGCGGCAACGCTGTCGAGCTTCTGCATGAGCACCCCAACCTCCCTCTTTGCCTCCTCCTCGCTCTTCCTCACCCTCTCCACCTGCACCACGAGCCCCTCCTTCTCCCTCTCAGCCGCCCGCACTCTCTCCCTCGCCTCCATCTCCCTCTCCTTGCCCTCCGCCAGCTGTTGCTCCAGGAAGCGCATGCGCTCCCCGGCTGTAGCGCGCTCGGCTGTAGCGTCGGAGAGGCGCGCGGTGAGCGTGCTGACGAGGGCCGTGAGGTAGGCCTCATTGTTAATTGCTGCCTGCAGCGCCGCCTTGGCCATCTGGAAGCATCAAGGAGGGAAGAAAGGAAGGAGGTCAGACGGGGAGGAGGGAAGAAGGACGGAAGGAGGTGAGGAGGGATAGAGAGGCGCTCGCTAGCTCCCTCTGCTTGCCCTCCGCCAGCTGTCGCTCCAGGAAGCGCATCCTGTCCCCGGCTGTAGCGCGCTCGGCTGTAGTGTCGGAGAGGCATGCGGTGAGTGTGCTGACAAGCGCTGTCAGATATGCTTCATTGTTGACTGCTGCTTGGAGAGCCGCCTTGGCCATCTGAAAGGAGGGAAGGAGGGGAGGAGGTAAGAAAGGAAGGAGGAAAAAAGGACGGAAGGAGGTGAAGAGGGACAGAGAGAGGCCACATGCTCCGCCAGCTGTCGCTCCAGGAAGCGCATCCTGTCCCCGGCTGTAGCGCGCTCGGCTGTAGCGTCGGAGAGGCGGGCGGTGAGCGTGCTGACGAGGGCCGTGAGGTAGGCCTCGTTGTTGATCGCTGCCTGTAGCGCTGCTTTAGCCATCTGGAAGCATCAAGGAGGGAAGAAGGGAAGGAGGTCAGACGGGGAGGAGGGAAGAAGGACGGAAGGAGGTGAGGAGGGATAGAGAGGCGCTCGCTAGCTCCCTCTGCTTGCCCTCCGCCAGCTGTCGCTCCAGGAAGCGCATGCGCTCCCCGGCTGTAACGCGCTCGGCTGTAGCGTCGGAGAGGCGGGCGGTGAGTGACGAGGGCCGTGAGGTAGGCCTCGTTGTTGATTGCCGCCTGAAGCGCCGCCTTGGCCATCTGATTTGGTGGAAGGGAACATGTGGTAGGGGGGAGAGAGGGGACCGGCGGGCGAGTGAGCGTGCTGACGAGGGCCGTGAGGTAGGCCTCGTTGTTGATTGCTGCCTGTAGCGCTGCTTTAGCCATCTGAAAGGAAGAGGGAAGGATGGGGAAACAAGCAGTCGTAGAGTCGGAACAGGCGGTGAGCGTGCTGACGAGGGCTGTGAGGTAGGCCTTGTTGTTGATTGCTGCCTGGAGTGCCGCCTTGGCCATCTGACAGAGGAAGCAGGCACCAACAGCAGCCAGCGCCACCTCAGCCGCCTCTCTCTCCCTCACAGCCTCCCCCTGCATGCGCTTGGCTGCGCCCAGCTCCCCATGTCCCCCTTCCCGTCCGCCCATGTCCCCCCTATTCAACCCTACCCATCCTGCTCACCATGGGGCTGTCAGAAGCAGCGAGCGCCACCTCAGCCGCCTCCCTCTCCCTTACAGCCTCGCCCTGCATCCTCTTGGCCGCCCCCAGACCTTACTCCCTACCCTGTTTCCCACCATCCTGCTCACCATTGGACTATCAGCAGCAGCCAGCGCCACCTCAGCCGCCTCTCTCTCCCTCACCGCCTCCCCTTGCATGCGCTTCGCCGCGCCCAGCTCCGCCACAACCTTCTCCGCTCGAGCTACAGCCTCCTTCCAGGATGCCCTCAGACTCGCCTCCCGTTCCTTGGCAGCAGACAGCTCAGCTTTGACACCTGCCAGACCCAGCACACAACCAGGCATAGGAGAGAAGTGAGTTGAATTCAGCTCCGCCACGACCTTCTCAGCGCGCGCTACAGCCTCCTTCCACAAAGCCCTCAGGCTCGCCTCTCGCTCCTTGGCAGCAGACAGCTTGGCTTCGACACCTGTGGCACCGAGCAGGGAAGCGCGGGGAGGGTGGGGACGGGGAGGGATGTGAAGAACTCGCACTTCCCATTGGCAATACGTGCCACCTCGTGCGCTGCTGCCACCTCGTGTGCTGCTACCACCTCCTTTTTAATAGCTCTGCCATGCGGGCTCAAAACTCGCACCTGCCAGGAGAGTGTTGGCCTGCCGCGCCTGGGCCAATGCAGCCTGCTCCCTCTCCCTCAGAGTCTCCATCACGCGAGCAAAGAACTCGCACTTCCCGTTGGCAATGCGCGCTGCCTCGTGTGCTGCTCCCGCCTCATGTGCTGATGCATCCCTTATCAATACAACAGTCAGAACACGCACCTGCCAGCAGTGTGTTCGCCTGCCGCGCCTGGGCCAACGCGGCCTGCTCCCTCTCCCTCAGCGTCTCCATCACGCGAGCGAAGAACTCGCACTTCCCATTGGCAATGCGCGCTGCCTCGTGCGCTGCTGCCACCTCGTGTGCTGCTACTACCTCCTTTTTAATAGCTCTGCCATGCGGGCTCAAAACTCGCACCTGCCAGGAGAGTGTTGGCCTGCCGCGCCTGGGCCAATGCAGCCTGCTCCCTCTCCCTCAGAGTCTCCATCACGCGAGCAAAGAACTCGCACTTCCCGTTGGCAATGCGCGCTGCCTCGTGTGCTGCTCCCGCCTCATGTGCTGATGCATCACTTATCAATACAACAGTCAGAACACGCACCTGCCAGCAGTGTGTTCGCCTGCCGCGCCTGGGCCAACGCGGCCTGCTCCCTCTCCCTCAGCGTCTCCATCACGCGAGCGAAGAACTCGCACTTCCCATTGGCAATGCGCGCTGCCTCGTGTGCTGCTGCCACCTCCGTCTCTAGCGCTGCCACCCGGGTGGTCAAGTCCTTCACCTTCACCAGCGCTGCTTGCTCCTGGGAGGGGTGAGGTGGGGTGAGGTGGGGCGAGATGGGGTGAGGAAAGCAAGGGTAAGGGGGGTTGCTGCTGCCACCTCCGTCTCCAGCGCCGCCACGCGGGTGGTGAGATCCCTCACCCTCACCAGCGCTGCTTGCTCCTGAGACGGGTGGGGACGGGTGAAGTGGGGTGAGGGAAGAAAGGGTAAGGGGTGGGGTGGAGTGGGGGAAGCGGGGTTGTTAGCAATGCACGCTGCCTCGTGTGCTGCTGCCACCTCCGTCTCTAGAGCAGCCATCAATTCTCGCACCTTCACCAACAATTCACTATTTACAGCACACACCCCACCCCTGGGTATTCTTACACTACACTACGCCACCTGCTAAGCGTTCCAAGTGTTCCCACTCACCCGCTTCTCCACCACTTGAGTCATCTGCACAGCGGAAGCCACTTCACTCCTCGCCGCCTTCTCCTTCTGCTCCAACTCCTTCACCACTCCCGATAAAAACCCAATCCTCTCCATCACCACCCATTTACACCACACACACAGGCTCAGCCCTCAAATACGCCTGCATTCACACCTATTTCCAATCATACGCTACCCCCTGACTGTCCCAAGTGTTCCCACTCACCCTCTTTTCCACCACTTGAGTCATCTGAACGGCCGAAGCCACCTCACTCCTCGCCGCCTTCTCCTTCTGCTCCAACTCCTTCACAACCCCCGACAGGAACCCAATCCTCTCTTTCGCCTCAGCCATAGCCGCAACAGCCTCCTCTTGCTTCTCCCCCACTGTAACCACTTCTGCCTTCAGAGCTTCTGCTTTTTTCTTAGCCTCCTCCGCTTCAGCTTCGGCTTTCCGCCGAGCCTCGATCAATTCTGACTCCCTCTCCCGCAGGCCTGCCACTTCAGCTTCGAGCTCCCCGATCCTCCCCTGGGCAGCTTCGGCGGAGGCTTGGGACCACGCCTCGCGGTTAGCCGCGGCCGAGAGCTGCGTGGCGAGCCGCGAGGCTCGGGCCGAGGCTGCCTTGGCGGTCTTTTCAGCCTCGGCGTGCTTGGTTCGGAGGGTCGTCAGCTGGTTAAGAAAGAAGGAGATTCGGTCCGTCGCTGCTGTTTCGGCTTCTGCTGCTGCTTTCTGCCTGGTCTCTAGTTGCTGAATCTGCGCCATCAGAATGTTAACCTTTTCCTGGGGGGATGCCTGGAGGGTAGAGGCGGGGAGGGAAGGGAGGGGAAGATGAGAATGCTGGTTAAGAAAGAAGGAGATTCGGTCCGTGGCTGCTGTTTCAGCTTCTGCTGCTGCCTTCTGCCTGGCCTCCAGCTGCTGAATCTGCGCCATCAGAATGTTAACCTTTTCCTGGGGGGATGCCTGGAGGGTAGAGGCGGGGAGGGAGGGGAGGGGAAGATGAGAATGCTGGTTAAGAAAGAAGGAGATTCGGTCCGTGGCTGCTGTTTCAGCTTCTGCTGCTGCCTTCTGCCTGGCCTCCAGCTGCTGAATCTGCACCATCAGAATGTTCACGTTTTCCTGGGGGGACGCCTGAAACGTCAGGGAGATATGGAGGAGGGAAGGGGGAGGGCAGAGGTGGGGAGTGTAGAGGTGAGGAGGGAGTGTAGCTGTGATTTCAGCTTCTGCTGCTGCCTTCTGCCTGGCCTCCAGCTGCTGAACCTGCGCCATCAGAAAAACTCACTTTCTCCTTGGGGGGGTGCCTGAACGGTAGAGGCGCTTCTGGAAGGGGGAGGGCTTGGAAGACATGCGTCACATCACATCCTTCCTTCCTCCTGAGACGACGTGTGAAACGTGCTAACGGAAAGACGACGGCAGAACTTCAAGTCTTGTGAAACAGAGAATGAGAGGGAGTAAGCACACGTTCCGGGACACTTTCTATGGGAGCATAAGAGGCAATTATCCCTCCACAACCCACACCTCCTCCCCATTCCCCTCCCCACCATTCCCACTCTCCCCTCTCTCTCCCCGACTCACCGCTCCGCCCTCAATCTGCTTCTCTGCCTCTCGGGTTGCTCTCCTGATGGCAGCCTGGCACGACGCAAACGAGGACGAACAGACAACCCCCCCTTCCCTTCCCTCCGTCCCCCTCCCCCAACCCTCCAACAACTCACCGCTCCACCCTCAATTTGCTTCTCCGCCTCCCTCGTTGCTCTCCTGATGGCAGCCTGGCACAATGAAGAAAGGGGAAAGAAAATAAAAGAAGAATGAAAACAAGAAAGAAATGAAGGAAAGAGAAAGCAAACACAGTTGAAAACAAAAAAAAGTGCACGGAGAGGAGATGAAAGGGGAGGAGGGGAAGGGAGAGGAGAGGAGCGGAGAGGAGAGAAGAGGAGAGGAGAGAAGTGGAGAGGAGAGGAGAGGAGAGAAGAGGAGAGGGGGGGAGGAGGAGAGGAAAGGAGAGGAAAGGAGGGCATATTTGGGAGGAGGGAAACGTGGCAATGAGTGCCACGTCAGCAGCAAGAGCGGCTGAGCTGGCAGTACCTTGGAGAGCGCATCAGAGAGCGCCACGTCAGCAGCCACCATGCGCTGGAAGCCCTCTATTGCGAGCTTCCTCTCTGCCGCCTGTAGCAGGACAAGCAGAGCAGGGGGGAAGGGGTGTGAGAAAGCGGGGAGACGATGGGGGGGAAGGAAGGCTGGGGTTGAGAAAGAGGCGGTGCAATGGCACGTCAGCAGCCACCATGCGCTGGAAGCCCTCCATTGCGAGCTTCCTCTCTGCCGCCTGCAGCATACAGGGGAGGGGCGTGTGGGGGGGGGGGGGGAGGAGAAGGGGAGGAAAGAGGAGAAGGGGGGAAGTGGGGAGGGTAAGAGGTGAGGGATCACTGAATCCCTTTATTGCGAGCTTCCTCTCTGCCGCCTGGCAGCAGGAAAAAGGAACGTGTTGGGGGTGGAAGGAGAGAGGAGAAGGGGAGGAAAGAGGAGAAGGGGGGAAGAGGGTGCGGGAGGAGGGATCACTGAAAGCCCTCCATTGCATTAGCAGGAAAAAGGAAGAGGAGGAGGGGAGGGAAGGGGAGGGAGGGCGGATTGAGGAAAAAAAGGGGACGGGAATAGGACGAGAGGAGGGGAGCGATTTATGCAAGATGCAGCATGAAAGCAAGTGGATCCAACCCTCCCTTCTCCACAAAACACACCACACACCCACACCCACCCTGCCTCCCTCCCTGTCTCCCTCCCTCCCACACCCCCACCCCCACCTCCCACCTTCCAGTCACTAGCAGAGCTGCCTCTGACGCCCTTGGCAATGCGCTGCTGCAGCTCCGCAGCGGCCAGCTTGGCGGGTGCTCCCACCCACCCATCAACCCAAACACAACACCCCACACACTCAGCGCACCCACCTTCCAGTCGCTCGCGCTGCTCCCCCTAACGCCCTTAGCAATGTGCTGCTGCAGCTCCGCCACCGCCAGCTTCGTCAGCCTCTCACACCTTTACACACACCAACCCACCTTCCAGTCACTAGCAGAGGTCCCTCTGACCCCCTTAGCAATGCGCTGCTGCAGCTCTGCTGCTGCCAGCTTTCGTCAGCCGCTCACCCCATACCCCACACACCCCACACCCACAGTCCCACACACTCGGCCCCACTCACTCAGCACACCTATATCCGCACCACCCACCTTCCAGTCACTAGCAGAGCTGCCCCGCACCCCCTTGGCAATGCGCTGCTGCAGCTCCGCTGCTGCCAACTTGGCAGGTGCTCCCACCCATCCTCCCTCCACAACCCAAACACAACTGCCCACCCACTCAACACACTCACCTTCCAGTCACTTGCAGAGCTGCCTCGCACCCCCTTGGAAATGCGCTGCTGCAGCTCCGCCGCAGCCAGCTTCGTCAGCCGCTCACCCCATACCTCCAACCTCTCACTCGATACCTCCCACACCACACCCATCCTCACTCCACAACACAAACACAACTCCCCACCCAGTCAACCAACACACCTTCCAGTCACTAGCACTGCTGCCTCGCACCCCCTTGGCGATGCGCTGCTGCAGCTCAGCCGCCGCCAGCTTCGTCAGCCTCTGGCTGTTGCCCGCCGCCAGGTGCTCCCCCTTCCCTCTCACAGACTCTATCCCTCCCTCCCAAGCCCCACAACCCCCAGACCCACCCACCCACCTTCCAGTCGCTTGCAGAACTGCCCCTAACACCCTTAGCGATGCGCTGCTGCAGCTCAGACGCAGCCAGCTTCGTCAGCCGCTGGCGGTTGCCCGCTGTACCTCCCCCTTCCCTCTCTCAGAACTACACCCCATCCAAACCCACACACCTTCCAGTCATCACACACACCTTCCAGTCATCACACCCACCTTCCAGTCATCACACCCACCTTCCAGTCATCACACCCACCTTCCAGTCATCACACCCACCTTCCAGTCATCACACCCACCTTCCAGTCATCACACCCACCTTCCAGTCATCACACCCACCTTCCAGTCATCACACCCACCTTCCAGTCATCACACCCACCTTCCAGTCATCACACCCACCTTCCAGTCATCACACCCACCTTCCAGTCATCACACCCACCTTCCAGTCATCACACCCACCTTCCAGTCATCACACCCACCTTCCAGTCATCACACCCACCTTCCAGTCATCACACCCACCTTCCAGTCATCACACCCACCTTCCAGTCATCACACCCACCTTCCAGTCATCACACTCACCTTCCAGTCATCACACTCACCTTCCAGTCATCACACCCACCTTCCAGTCATCACACCCACCTTCCAGTCATCACACCCACCTTCCAGTCACTAGCAGAGGTCCCTCTGACGCCCTTGGCAATGCGCTGCTGCAGCTCAGCCGCAGCCAGCTTTGTGAGTCGCTGGCTGTTGCCCGCTGCCAGATGCGTGTGGGTTGATTCAAGGGCGTCTAGAGCGGGCCTAGCAGATGGGCACACACGTTTCAGCGCCGCTGCTGCAGCCTCCGCCGTCTCGCCCTTCACCAGGGACAGGTAACTGCCCAAGTGCAGAAATGGGAAAAGAGTTGGGGGTAAGGGGAGAGCAGACTGAGTCGCTGGCTGTTGCCCGCCGCCAGGTGCATGTGGGTCGATTCAAGGGCTTCTAGAGTGGGTCTGGCCGAGGGGCACACGCGCTTCAGCGCCGCTGCTGCTGCCTCCGTCGTCTCCCCCTTCACCAGAGACAGGTAGCTGTTTCGGGCTGGGGGATAGGGAGAGAGGGGGATGGGAGGAGAGTAAACTGAGTTGCTGGCTGTTGCCCGCCGCCAGGTGTGTGTGGGTCTGCTCTAACGCTACTAAAGCGGGCCCTGCGGAGGGCCACACGCGTTTAAACGCGTTGACTAGTAAGATGCAAACGGTAACATTGAAGCCAGAGCCGTAAGAGCGCTGGCAGCGTTGGGCTGGCAGCTGACCACGAGCAGCACCCGATGCCCCGATGCTGCCAGCTACAGCTTCTCTACCCAACATTGACCCGCGTTGACTAGCGTTGACCAGCAACGGTGACACTCACCCCTCTGTTACACACTCACTGACGCACTCACCCCAGAGCTGTGAGAGCGCTGTCAGCGTTGGGCTGGCAGCTGACCACGAGCACCCGATGCCCCGATGCTGCCAGCTACAGCTCCTTTACCAGCATTGACCAGCGTTGACTAGCGTTGAGAAACGAGTTGACCTGCCTTGATTACGCTTATTGCACACTCACCCCAGAGCAGTCAATGCGCTAGCAGCGTTGGGTTGGCAGCTGACGACGAGTACCCGATGCCCCGATGCTGCCAGCGACGCCACCACGCGCACAGCCTCGAGCAGCACAGGCACCTGCGACGGATGGGAAGGGAGGGGTGGAGAGAGAAGAGAGGAAGGGGAGGAGTGGGGAAGAGGGAATAAGGGCGGTTGGAGCCGTGACGCCCGATGCTGTCAGCGACGCCACCACGCGCACAGCCTCGAGCAGCATAGGCACCTGTGGAGGTGAGGGGAGAGAAGCGGAGAGGGGAAGGAGAAGGGCGGTTGGAGCAGTGAGGCCTGATGCTGCCAGGGACGCCACCACGCGCACAGCCTCGAGCAGCACAGGCACCTGCTGGGGTGGTGAGAGAGAGTGGGAGGGGTGGAAGGGGGGTGAGAGGGGAAGGGAGCAGGGAGGTGTGACTATGAGCACTCGATGCCCCGATGCTGCCAGGGACGCCACCACACGCACCGCCTCGAGCAGCACAGGCACCTGCGGTGGTCAGCGGGGGAAGGGGCGGAGAGGGGAAGGAGAAGGGCGGTTGGAGCAGTGAGGCCTGATGCTGCCAGGGGCGCCACCACACGCACCGCCTCGAGCAGCACAGGCACCTGCGGGGGGGTAGGAGATGCAGGGGGAAGGGGCGGAGGGGGTGTGGGGGAAGGAACAGGGGAGCAGCACCCGATGCCCCGATGCTGCTAGTGACGCCACCACGCGCACAGCCTCGAGAAGCACAGGCACCTGCGGAGGTGACATGAAAGGGGGACGGTGGGAGGGGGTGAGAGGGGAAGGGAGCAGGGAGGTGTGACGACGAGCACTCGATGCCCCGATGCTGCCAGCGACGCCACCACGCGCACAGCCTCGGGCAGCACAGGCACCTGCGGGGGTGATAGGTTGTGGGGGCGAAGGAGGGGAGGGGGGGGAAGATAAGGGCGGTTCGGCTGATGCTCCCAGTGATGCCACCACGCGCACAGCCTAGATCAGCACAGGCACCTCGAGCAGCGTAAGTACTGATTCCACCCACACGGCCGCCCCTCCTGCCTCGACCCACGCTCGCTCCACAGAGCTTAACATACCTGCGCATTCGCAAATCCCCAACAGTAGCCGCTGCTCCCCTAGTGTTTCCACCGATTCCACCCGCACGGCCGCCCCTCCGACCTCTCAACCCACGCCCGTTCCCACCCACTGCCTTGCGTACTTGGGAATTAGTAGCAGTGTCTCCCTTCTCCCCAGCAGCTGCCGTTGCTGCGGCTGCTCCTGCTGCCGCAACAGCAGCACTCTCCCCTAGCGTTTCCACCGATTCCACCCGCATGGATGCCCCTCCCGCCTCTCAACCAACGCCCGTTCCCCCCCACTGCCTTGCGTACCTGGGCATTGGTGGACGAGTCTCCCTTCTCTCCGGCAGCTACCGCTGCAGCCGCTCCTGCTGCAGCAACAGCAGCGTGCACCCCTAGCGTTTCCACCGATTCAACCTCTCCCATTCACTGCCTTGCGTACGTGGGCATTGGTGGACGAGTCTCCCTTCTCCCCAGCTTCTGCTGCTGCTGCGGCTGCTGCTGCGGCAGCAACAGCAGCACTCTCCCCTACCGCTTTTACTGATTCAACCCGCACGGTTGCCTCTCCCGCCTCTCAACCCACGCCCGTTCCCACCCACTGCCCCACCCACCGCCTTGCGTACCTGGGCATTGGTGGAAGAGTCTCCCTTCTCTCCAGCTTCTGCTGCGGCTGCCGCGACAGCAGCACTCTCCCCTAGCGTTTCCACTGATTCCACCCGCACGGCCGCCCCTCCCGTCTCTGTCACTGCTGCCGCGACTGCCGGCCAATCAACGCCCAGCTCCCGCTCCTGCTGCTCCGTCTGTGGTTGTGACGTGGCGTGGGGAAGGGAGGGGGAGAGGGTGAGGGATAAAACTCCAACATGCTACCTGCACTGCTGGCCCTCCCGCCTCTGTGACTGCTGCTGCGACTGCCGGCCAGTCAACGCCCAACTCCCGCTCCTGCTGCTCCGTCTGCAGATGTGGCGCGGGGAAGGATGGGAGGGAGGAGGTGACGGGACGGGGTGAGGGAGGAAGGGAGAAGGGAAGTGAGTGGGAAGGGAAATTTGAAGTACGTGCGAAGGGAAAGACCCCACGGTTGCTACTCGCACGCACGCCCTGCCATCCCTCCCACATCCACAGATGACGTCACACCGCTCTAAACCGCTACTTCCCTACGCATTTGTGAAGTTGCTGGTTTGTGGAGTTTCTCCCTTCTCAGAAAATTTGCTAATGCATTGTTAGAACCTCCGTGAGAAATCCAACAGCGGAACGACAATTCGCTGAAAGATAATGATTTCGTACCATTCACATGCAACCTTCTTTTCGTTTTAGCGACAGTAGATACACTTGACAAGCGTGCTTACCATAAGGGCCACGACAGCGGTGACGTCAGCAGCCGCCATCACAGCCTTGGCGTCGTCAGCCGTCGCCAGCGGCGACCCAATCAGCACGTTGTCCGCCACGTGGCACCACGAGATTGGCCAGTCGCCCTCGACTCTCGCCGACTCAGCTGTTATTGTAACGACATTGTGGGGACGAGGGGGAAAGGAGAAGACAGTAAGCTGTTGTTGCAAGGACACCGAGGGTTGTGGGGGGACGCGAAGGGAGAGGGAGGGTGGGGGTGAAGATTATAAGCGGAGTAACAATTGAGTTACTAACGACACGACACACAAGACACCGCATCATGCGGCAAATAACCAATCACGCACCCATGCATGGAATACCGCAACTCAAATACCGCGGGTTATGGGGACGCGAGGGGAGACGGAGAGTGAGAGGGGGGATATGGGGACGCGAGGGGAGACGGAGAGTGAGAGGGAAGACTCAAAAGCAAGAGTAATATCAGAGTAAGTAACGACACAGACGACACCACATCATCCGGCAAATGACTCATCAGGCACCCATGCATCGACTAACGCAATTCGTATACTACCGGTCCGATGGTAGGAAAAAAAAAAAAAAAACACACACACACACACACACACACAAAAGTATCGTTCGTAAATGGAGGTGGTATCATACACACACCGCATTCAATATAACAACAGCCATTTTAGCATCAATTCCTCTGTCGGACAATTCTCTACAAAATACGATCTGATTTATGTCGTAGCACTGTTTTTACCATAGAGAAAAAAAATATTACTGGGAATTTGATTTCCCTAAGCATACCGGACTTCGATGCTTTTCCTCGAATGCGACGAGGTAACGAGCCCGAGATCCGTCCCTGCGGCTTCTCCGCAATTGACGGAAACGTCGAAAGCTTCTTGAGCCGCGACTTGGCCTCCTCGCTCACATCCGCCATAATCACATCATGAACGCGTGCTCCGCGATTCGCGGCGCCATCTCCGCCGCGCTTTGCGCCCGCGTTTCGCCGGTCCGTCGTTTCTCCGACAGCCGCACGAGCTGCGCCAGGCTGGAACGCGGAGAGCTTCCGGAGATTAACTCCCACGCGCGGGGCCCGCGGAGGAGACGCAATCAGGCGCCGCGTGACGGGGACGAGAGTTAACGAAGACGCTAACGCGTGCGGCGGAGTGGCAATGGCGTTCGACTTCACGGGCAATCGCAGCCCGGCGGTGGCGACTGAAAGAGTCTCCATCCTGATTGCTTCAGGGCTAACACTTTCGTGATAATGATTAGGAACACGAAGTAGCCCTAGAGTACAAGTTTGCGCGAAAAAAGGCCCGCGCAAGTACTTGATATGTACTGGAAGAATGAAAGCACGGAAGGTCTCAGATCCAGGATCCCTAAGGTGACTACAGCTGCGGGTGCAAGTACAGGCAGAAGCTGAGCCTGTACGGTATGTCTGTCCTCCTGCGTTCTTCCTCTCCCGTGGCAGATATCCCTCCATGGTTGGAAGCTGGATGGAGGAGATGGAGGACAAGGTAGCTCCATAGATTTACGGGGCAGATTATTGGCGAGTTTCGCGATGGCAGAGTTACTGACGATAGAAGCTACCAATTCCTCGTTGTCGAATCAATCCCTGCATCATTGACCTAGAAAGGGTAACTCGCGTTTGGCGAAATCCTACGATCCGGCACTGGGAACTCCTGAAAGGACGGAACCCCACTGAAATGCTGCCCGCGGATTCTGAACGACGGTTCGAATCTGTTCGCTTTTTGGTGGGAAAAGCGGGCGACCCGACAGGGTACCTTCCTATCCAAAAGTGACGCAAACAGTACTCCTCATTGGGTGTCAGAAAGTGGCGGGACAATTGCACCAGATCCGCTGGATTGAAAATCATCTACGGGTTACAGCAGCCATTGCGGAAAAACAGGATATGTCACCCAGACTTTTGGGCCATGTCAGCAATGGAGGTGAATCTTCCACGAGGTGAGGAAGGGTCACGACCCGCACGTGTGACAATGACATCGCTCTCCGCCTTATATCCGCCATGGATGTCCTTGCGTGCCTGGAACTCCTCAATGTTACACTTCCACTGCGACATTTCCGCTGATATTATAACCATTGAGTTCTTCTTCACGCAGGTACTAAGCGGATATTTTTAAAATGTTCGAACATTGAACATTGATCGCACTTCCCTGAGGACGGAAATAATTCATAGTTCAGGGAGTTGCCTGCTGGATGTTCTCGAGGATGGTCCCTCCAGGATACTATCAACGGTGTTTACGTTATCAAGGTCTAAGCAAGTCTCACGTCACATCACAAGGCTACTCACCTACTAAAGGCATGATTTTCGTGCTCATAAAACAATATTTTCCAGCATCATACTGGACGTGGTGGTATCGCTATCATCATCCCAATGCCTCCTAGAGCCAAGCACGCAATGGCCTCTGCTGCTGCAGCATCTACCTCAATGAATGATGTTATCCCTCTTGCTCCTCCGACTACAGGTCATGCCAAGCCGAAGTCGCACTCAAGGCTCCCGCTTAAGTCAGTTACCATCATGAAGGCGGCGGTCCTTTCATGCCTGAGGACTTGCATTCGATTCGCAACTACAACGACTTCATAATTGAGCGACAGAGCAACATTTCTAAGTGGAACCTTACCATAGGGAGGGAGGGTCCATGAGCTGAATGGTAGTGCAATCATCTTTATTGTCGCTTTTACCGTTGCATCGTCGCCTTTTGGTTCCAGTACCGTCCAGCTTCTCACGCGTGTGTCTTGCAGCTGCTGTGACTGTCGCCTCATATAAATCCAAGATTGTCCTCAAGGACCCGGCTTCGGTCCTCATCTCCAACAGCGGCAATCGGGAGGAGTGGGTTTGCCTCCAGGACAGCTGCGAGAAAACTCATGGTGCTTCCTTCGAATAGGCTGCGCATCACGCGCTATCTCAGCGTCACAGTCATGGTGCTCCGGAAGGAAGGGAGTTGCTGCGCCTGTCGAAAGGGAAGATGAACCTCAAAGTGTTGAAGAAGGCATATGGCCTGTAACCTGGAAGAAGGGGGGTGGTGTGAAAATAGTAGGTAGAGTTAGGAGCCATAGCTAGGTAAGTCCTAGCTAGGCAAGAGAAGTTTAGGCAAAAGAAGAAGAGGGGGTTCACTAGAAAGCAGCAGGATACATATAGGAAACCCTAAGGGGTTGTACTCGCTATAGAGTACCCCACTGCAGGCTAGAGAACAATGACATTCTGACACACCCCCATAGCCAAAGTGGGGTGTAATCAGCAGAGCAAGCAAAGCAGAACAAGCTCAGGGTGGATCACAATGTCACCACACATTCTGAGCACAAGTACAAGAAGCAATAGTTTAAAGTTCACAATTATGAGCAAAGCTAGAGGCTATCGCAGAGGGCAAGTGAGGAGGAGGAGGCGAGAGTGAGAGGAGAGGAGATAGGAGGCGACGGCTGAAGCTGCAGACACACGGGCAACAGGAGTCACACTGGCACAGCGGCTACCGGAACAACGCTCCGGACTACTGGAGTAACTGGCTCCGCGGCTAAAAGTAGCGGCAGACGAGCAACGGACTTACGGGCGACTGGCACAGCTGGCTGCGACTGGGCTACCGGAGAAACTCCCCGGACTACAGGTGCTGCTCGCGACACGACGGCAACCTCAGTTCAACCTCCCCAAACAGTCCCACTCCCCCTGACACACACCCCCTGCTTCACCCCTAGCTCCACTCCCCCTTCACCCCCCTTAGTACCACTCCGACGGCTCCAACAGGTCCACCCCCCTCAGCGGCAGCTGCAGCACTGGGAGACGGAGGAGGAGGAGGAGCAGGGGACGGCACACAGAAGCTGCACCCCCAGACCCCCCACCCCCAAACCCTAATTCAGGAGAACGGGCAGCAGCAGGGGTGGGGCGCCATCAGAAGCACGGGGGACAGCGGGCAGCGCAGGGGCAGCGAAGAACGGGCCGCCCACGGGCCTGGCACAGCCGCCCGAACCGCGCGCAGGCGGCCCGAGCCGCGCGCGGGCCTGGCGCAGCCCGTACGGGCCGCGCGCGGGCCTGGCGCAGCCCGTACGGGTCGCGCGCGGGCCTGGCGCAGCCCGTACGGGCCGCGCGCAGGCTGTACGAGCCGCGCGCAGGCCACGACGGGCGACAGGGGGCGACGCGCGGGTCCCCGTCGCCCGTCGCAGCGCCTCCCGGGAGCGACGCGCGGAGTGACGGGGCAGAAACCCGCCGCGCGCCTCGGGGCGCACGGCGGGCAGACAACCGCCGCGCGCCTCGGGGCGCACGGCGGGCAGAAAACCGCCGCGCGCCTCGGGGCGCACGGCGGGCAGAAAACCGCCGCACGCTCCGAGCGCGCGGCGGGATGAAAAATCCGTCGCACGCCACGGGGCGTGCGACACAGAGAGTGGCAGTAGCAGCGGAAGCAGTGAGGTGGTGAGCCCACCCACAGGATCGACCCAAGGGGATCGACCTGCTCTGATACCATGTGAAAATAGTAGGTAGAGTTAGGAGCCATAGCTAGGTAAGTCCTAGCTAGGCAAGAGAAGTTTAGGCAAAAGAAGAAGAGGGGGTTCACTAGAAAGCAGCAGGATACATATAGGAAACCCTAAGGGGTTGTACTCGCTATAGAGTACCCCACTGCAGGCTAGAGAACAATGACATTCTGACAGGTGGCATCTGGAAGCAGACTAGTGCATCGCCTTGCCTGCTGTCTGTAGGACTTGCCATGTCTGTACTCGCAAACTATAAGCCTGTTGTCTGTCTCTCTTTCAGCCCGTGGATGCTTGAGGCTTCCTCGTGGTTTCCCAATGGATTAGGCCTCTTTCCTGTCACTACGCGCACTCAACGTCAACGGGCTTGGAAGCAAAGGGAAGCAGAAACATCTTAAGAGACCGTTAAAGAAATCGCCGGATATCTTTGCATTGGCCGACACGCAAATTGGCCCTTATGAAGTATTCTGGAAGTCACTTAAGGCCCCTCACCTCCACTCGATCGGACCTGTGGGGAAGGCAGGGGGGGTTGCCATTGTCAGATTCAACAAAGCATTGTCTTTCACTAACGTCGTTCTGCACTGCTCAGGGAGACTCCTACGGGCGGATGTCTGCTGGGACACCTTCACCTGCATGTTTCTTGCGACATATTTTCCTGCATCAGCA